GCAGTCAGTACTCTTAACTGCTGAGTCATCTCTCCAGTCCCAGCTTTGAGATTATTTCTTTGTCATGAGTATTAGCCTATATTTGTGATGTATTTTGAAAATAGTTTCTTCAGATCTATCACTTTGTTTGGTTTGTTGTTTTTTGTTTTTGATGGAGATAGAGGGGATGGATTTGTGGTGTTGGGGATTGAATCCAGGCCTTCATATATGCTAGAAATTCTACCACTGAACTATATTCCCAGCCTGCCTTTTGACTCTATTTTTATGGTGGTTGTAACTGTGCCAAAAAAGTGTGTGTATATGGTGTGTGTGTGTGTGTGTGTGTATGCTCATTGTTTGTGTATGCCGGTCCACACACACTTGTGTGCACAAGCATCTGGAGGCCAGCAATCAATGTCAGGTATCTTCCACAATCACTTTCTAAATTTTGAAACAGGGTCTTTCACTGAACCCGGCACTCAATGCTTTGTCTAGACTGACTGGCCAGCAAGACCCAGGGACCCAGGGATCTTTCTGTCTCTGCCTCCCCAGCAGTGGGATTAAGGTACATGCCGCTAAGCCCAGCCTTTATTGGGTGCTGGGGATATGAACTCAGGTCTTCATGCTTGCACAGGAAGCACTTTACTGAGTCATATCCCCAGGTCTCCATTAAGGTACAGTGTTTTCTCCTGTTACACCTGACTTTTGAACTATAGTTAACATTTCCCCACACCCAGGTTATTAAAAAATTCATCTGTGCTTTATTTTAGTGTTTGATTTTACTCTTTACCCTAACTTTTCTGTTCTCTTTGAAATCTATTCTTATGTGTGTTGTGGGGTGTGCACCCAATTTTATATCTTTCTAAATGACTTGATTCTGGTTTGTAAATGCAAACCACTGTATTCTCTGCAGCCAAGCATTATAAGCTGTCTTAGTCATGGTGAATCACACTAGTACTTTTGCTGGTTTGTTTGATTTCAAAGTGTACAGATTCTTCAAATGTACCTGATTTGTAGCCATAGTGCCTCATGCAAAGAATATTGTATTTCAAAAGCACTTTTCTGATTGTCTAACCCTCCCTGCTCAGGGGTTGTGAAATTTTCAATAAGTTTCCATGATTAAGCAGTTCAACTTGTGGAACTACTTGCACAGTAATTAAAAAATAATTATAGGCAGCATAAACTAGTGAAATTTATTGCTATTGCCTAAATGTCAGGAAGCGCTTCTTTGCACTGAGACAATCAATTTTTATAGAAGAGTTGCTTTTGAATTATTCATTTCAGTTGTAGGTTATAGAGAAACTAACTCTTGTATTTTTTTCAGGAAAAATATTTCATGAAAATAGTGAGTTACTGGCATTGGTTCATCAGCATCTGTGATAGGGATAACACCTCTACAGTTTTTTGGCCTTCCTTGTAGCACTCTAACGTGGCTGCTAAAACTCTAACTGCTACCTCTGAGGGTTCAAAGTAGGAATACAGTAAAGAGGCATACCAACTATGCCATCTTATCAATGAAAAATTTAAAAAAATCCACCTATGTCTTTTTGGCCAGAATTCTATCATCCATAGATGTAAAGAGAAGCAAAGAATTAGAATATTTAAGCTTTCTAACCCACATCCAGGGAAACATCCAGGCAGTAGAGATAGGCTAGAGTCTGAGTTCATTGCCAGTGGCCAAGACAGAATCTATTATGCCTGCTTAAAGAAAGTTCTTTAAAACACACCAAATGATGGAGTTGGAGAGAATCTGGGTTAGTCTTGATGGACCAAGCAGGTGGCATGTCTAGAAGATGTGCATGCTCTGCCCCTCATCACACATGCTTGGTCATTTTCTCCATTTAGTGGCTGCTCCTTTGGATTCTTTATAACAAAGCATGGCTAGTAATTACAGCACTTTCACAAGTCTCATGAGTACTTCTAGTGAATAACTATCAAACCTGAAAAAGGTGTTATGGGAACTCCTAAATGTATAGCCAGTCAGTCAGAAGTACCACTGACAACATGGGACTTCTCATTGGCATCTGAAGTGGGGATAGTCAAATGTGACTGAACCCTTAATTTGTAGGATCTGAAGCTAACTCCCTATAATGGCAGAATTGACCTGAACTGTGAGACACCTAGTTGGCGTCAGAGCAGGTGAAGCAGTGTTGGAAAAGATATCACACATTTGCTGCTAGGTATTTTATGAGCAATAGCAGCTCAGAGATACTGACAGAACAGTGACTCTGTAGACTTCACTACGCCAAGGAAAAGACCAACCTTGACCTAGATATTGGCTCAAAAAGACACGTGGTAGAGGAACTGCAAACAGTGGGTATTAAACCGAGAGACAAGACCTCAGTGAGAACAAGGAGAGTAGCTATGGATTAAGGAGTTTAGAAGGGCTTAAAGCATGGTAGGCAAGTTGATGACTATCTCTGAAGCATACATTGTTTCTGGTCATCGGTGTGTGGAGGTCACAATCCAGAGGAGTAGGCTAGGGCTGGAACAGGTTAGAAGTGTCAGGGGCCCAGCATGAGTGACATCCCACAGGGCCCAATATCAAGGACAGAAGTGGGTTCTAGGTCATGTCCCTGAAACATTTTCTTCAAAAACCAGTTTGCCAGTTGACCAACTTACTGATAGCCATTTGAGCACCTTACACAAGCCTGCAGCAGTGTCAGGTTCCTGTCAGAAACCAAACCTTAGATATTGTGAGTTTGACAATTGGATTTAGTCAAATCTTAGCCTACCTCAAGTGTTAGTCACTTGCTGGACTTCAAGAAACACATAATTGCCAATTTATGCTAGTTTATTTAAATACAGCCTATTAAGCAGATGGAGAAAGTCACAGAATGTCTTAAAATTCTCAGAGACTTCCGGGAACCCCAGTGCCTACTCAGCATCTGGTGAGAAAAGTGCTGATGCATTTCCTGCCTCTCTCTTTCTTTCTTTGTGGCTCCCTAGGCCACACCCCCACTAGCCTCTTCATCTGCCTTAAGCTGTCTTCATGTTCCCTCAAGAGCTGTAACTGTGACAGCAAGGCCAGTAGGCCAAAGGCAGACACAAACAGGCACTTGTGGAGTTGGCACGCTCTGGACTATGAAAAACGAGTATTTACCTCTGGCTACTAAGCTGTTTTTTCAGTTCAGCAAATCACCGAGACATTCCAAATGCAGCAGGTACAGGGAGTACAGTGTCTGTCCTGCCAGAGTTTTTTGGCTCTGGACTGACACCCTGCCATTCTCAGGGCATGGGAGTGAACTTGGGTGTCCAGAAGGTACAAAGCTCTCACCGGGTATGAAAATAGACTGTATGGCATGTGGTGCATGTTTGGGGCAGAAAGGCTAGACTCTAAGGCACAGAAGTATGTGGACCTCCCATATGTTTTTAAAGCTGTATTTGAGAAAATGCTGTCTGCTGCTCAGCAGTAGAAAATAGCAAGCAGGACATAGAGGAAGCATTCCGAGCACGATAAAAAAAGCTGTGCTAGGAAATCTAGCTTCTGACCTCTCTCCCCTTCCTGATATCCAGTGTCCTTGCTCTATGAATAGCTAAGAAAGGTAGGAGGAATTAGACTGAGATGCTCAGAGAAGCAGACTGCATTAGAGTCAGAGGGATCAGGCACCTTAAAAGAAAGAGAAAAAAATCTCTGGAGCAACAATGATCTGAGGTCAACCACTGAACAGAAGCAGCATCAGAATCCATCAGCATCCCATCTACTTGTTTCTAAATGTTTTCTCTGAGCTGATGAATTCTTTACATCAAGGATAGCAGCTTAGCCTTGTGATAATCTTTTTATATCACACATATATTCATAGCCTGCTGTTTCTCCATCTAGCTTTGATTTATCTGATTTCTTGAGCAAAAATCACATATAACTGGTCTGTTTCAAAGCATTTTTTCTCCCATTTCCTCCTGGCTAGTGGGGTTTGCAGGTTTCTTCTAGGGACCATTTGACTTGATCACAATTCCTTGCTTAGAGCCCTCTTCACAGTTATCCATGTGTAAAATTCCAGGCCTAGTCTTTCTGGTTGGCCTGGTTTTGTAGCCATCAAAGATCAATAATAAAACAATATCAAGGTAATAAAATATTGGGTCCAGGTTATCATAATACCTACTGCAACCAAAAATGTCTTCAGACATTACCAAATATTTCTCTGGGCAAAATCATCCTAGGATAAGAGTCATTGCTCTGGAAGCTAGACACAGCGGTCCCTTCTATGAAGAAAGAAAGAGAATGGCACAGCATGAGACCAACATACAATGTTACATCAAATGATACATTTTAGAAAGGAAGCTGGCAGGTAAAGATGACAATGAGTATATTCTAAGAGAAAATATAACTCAAAGAAAATTTCCCCAAATTTTTTGTCATTATAATTTTTTTTAGAATATACATTCAACAAAATAGTAGTTCATCATCTATGTGGTAAAATAGCAGACCTAACTGGAAAGGGAGATTTTAGTGCTAAGGAAGTGAACTGAGTTCCAAAACAAAATCATTCTAGAACTAACAAATTGCAAGTCTCAAGGAACTGACATGACAGGATTAAGTATAGAATTATTGACAAAGAGAAAGACTTAAGCTATCATAGAAAATGAAAAGGAAAAAGACAACTAAGTTCAATTCTAGATTACAAATATGTATGACATAAAAAGATTATCATAAGATTAAGTTGCTATCCTTGATGTAAAGAATTCTTCAACTGAAATAGAACAAACATTTAGAAATAAGCTGATGGGATGCTAATAAATTAGATGCCAGATTACAGGCACATGAAGTTATGGTATATTATTCCTTTTACAGTAATAAAACATTAAACGAATCCAAGAACACACTAGAGAACATATGTGTATTGACTGCCAATTGAAAGGGGTCATATAATATATCAGAAAAAAATGAAAGAATGATTGTAATTAATATGTCATCTGGGGCTGGGGATGTAGCTTAGTGGTAGAGCGATTGCCTAGCATGTGTGAGACCCCGGTGTAAGTCCTCAGCACTGGGTAAAAAAACAGATATCATTTAATTTGTTTGCTAAATTTCTTATATAAAGAAAGAATTCTTTAGACCCTGGGCATAAAACACACAGGAAATAGTTGACTTTAGATTTATGTTGCTCAGATTTCATTATGGCAGCATTAATTCCAGATGACAATGGAGCCATGTCTGCAAAGGCTGAACAAAAGTAGGGCCAGCAAGTATCACACTCAATCAGACTGAACTTCATTGGTCAATTCAGCAAACAGGAACTCTTCTGCATGAAAAAAATATTCAAGGAATACAGCATGCATGAGTCATTCTTGAATATATGACAGATGATTAATCTAGTCCACACAAAAAGATTTGGAAATCATTATTAAAAGGACAAAACCATGGGGCTAGAGAGAAAGCTCAGTGGCTAAGAGCACTGGCTACTCTTGCAGAGGATGCAGGTTTGGTCCCCAGCACCCACATGGTGGCTAACAATCATCTGTAACTCCAGTTCCAGAGGATCCAACACCCTTTTCTGGCCTCCAAGGCCATTATACCACATGAGTGCGCTTGCATATACACTGACAAAACATTCATACACATTAAATAAAAATAACTTAAAAAAAAGTTCAAAAGCAAACTTTGATGCTAGGAGAGGATTGTGGAATAGCTAAATATCTTCGGGAGAAAAAAAAAAAATGTATGGCTAGCCCAAATCTACTTACAGCAGGCAAATTGTCCTTCAAGGATAAAAGCAGAGGCATGCTTTAACAAAGGTAGAAAATGCATGGGCTACAACAGTCATAAGGATGCTTGAAAATTTTACTTGTCTAATAAATTCAATGACCCAAGAAATGAATGAAAATACAATTTTCACATATGAAGAAAAATAGTAAAAAGACTGCAGTTTATATCAGTTTAAATCAGAACTAAAATAAGAATATTGGCAGAAATTATGATTATAAAAAGACTCTGAGTATAAGCTCTGATAAGTAAAAATACTATAACTAGGTGCTAGAGAGATGGCTCAGCATTCAAGAGCACTGACTGCTCTTGCAGATGACTAGGGTTCAATTCCCAGCACCCACATGGTGGCTAACTGCTCTTAACTCCAGTTCCAGGGAATCTCCACACACATATGATACATTTACATATATGCAGATAAAGCACTCACATACATAAAATAAAAATAAATTTTGAAAAATTAAAAAATATGAAATATAACTAAGAAAATTAGGTAATCAGTATGCAGTAGAAAAAAATGTACAAAGTACTTTCCCCTTGATATTTCTTTTCAGAAAATAAAGATAAATTGGTTACATATTACATATTATTTTAAAACAGTTTTTATTGGTTTCATTTTATTTTATGAATAAGTTCTTGCATGTATGTAAGTGAACCCATGTAGTACAATGTCTGTGGAGGCCAGAAGAGGGCATCCCCTGAAACTGGAGTTGAAATACTTGTGAACTGTCATGTGGATGCTGGAAACTGAACCCAGGTTTTCTGCAAGAGCAGCCAGTGCTCTTAACTGCTGAGCCATCTCTTCAGACCCATACCATATTATTTTTTAAAAGCCTGTTAATTTATTTTCATTATGGTTTTATTAACTTTAGGTTAGTTTGAAAGATATTTGTATGCATTCCAAAAATTCGTTTCATTTATACTATATTTTTTATTTAATTCAAAAAATATTTCATTTATTTTTTATAAAATATTTTATTTATTATTTTTATTTTATGTGTATGTGTGTATTGCCTGCATGTAGGTAAGTGCAGCCATGTCGTGCAGTGCCCACAGAGGTCAGAAGAGGCTGTCAGATCCCCTGGAACCAGAGTTAGGACAGTTGTTAGCAGTCATGTGGGTGCTGGGATTCAAACCCAGGTCTTCTGCAAGAACAACCAGTGTTCTTAACACCCTGAGCCAGCTCTCCAACCCTCATTTAATGTTTTAAAAAGTAAAAACAGCATTTGCGTTTTGCAGAAACTGACAAGATGGTCCTAAAATTTGTGTGGAAATGCAGGGATACTAGACTACTAGAATAGCCAAGGCAGTCTTGGGAAAGAAGAAAGTTGAGAGACTCACTTCTCAATGATACTACAAACCTCCAGTGATCAGGACATATGATAGATTGTGCTGGATAGCTTTAGTGTCAACTTGACACATCTGGGTTGAGGAAGCCTCAAATGGGGAATTGCCTCCCTATGACTAGCCTGTGGCCATGTCTGTGGGGCATCTTCTTGATTGTTGAGTGATGTGGGAGGGCTCAACCCACTGTGGGTGGTGCCACCCCTGGGCAGGTGGGCCTGTGTTGCATAAGAAAGCAGGCTGAGCAGGGGCCAGGGGAGCAAGCCAGTAAGCAGTGTTCCTCCATGGCCTGTGCTCTAGCTCCTGCCTCCAGGTTCCTGCCCTGAGTTCCTACCTTGGGCTCCCTCATGAACTGTGACCTGGGAGATATAAGATAAAATAAACCTTTTCCTCTCCAAGTTGGTATTGGTCAGAGTATTTTGTCACAGCAATGGAGAAACAAACGGGACATAGACATTGTGAGAATATGTCATTATGAGGAACTAAAAGCCAGATCCCTGCCAAGCCGAAAGATAAGGAAATAGCCACTGATAAGCAGCGAAGATGGCAAACTTCTGCCTTTTTCCTCACCTAAGACAAAAACCTGGCAGGCTTTTTCTCCAGCCAGCAAGACCCTTTTCTGGCTGAGTCCAGACCAGTCTAGATAAGTCCAAGGCCAGTCCTGGACTTGGAACTCTGACCCCATCTCTCTTCTTTGTTTAGGTTGACCAATCCAAAATTAGGGGAGATGGGAACCTGCCCTATACTACCAAGAATACTTAAAAGATCCAAGCCCTTTTAGGGGCTTGCCATTTTAGCTTCTGATTTCCCTCTCTACTTACGGAAAGCCTTGTGTCTGTGTGACTGTGTGTGTGTGTGTGTGTGTGTGTGTGTGTGTGTGTGTGTGTGTGTGTCTTTACTTTCAATAAAGTTTACTGCCTGCTGTGTCTGAGATTCTTCCTGCTTTTTAATTCTGTAGTGAAGAAAACGAAACCAATCAAGATCCCTAGACAATAATATGTTTGGGAACTTCATCTAGGATTTCTTCTGAGGACCACACACTCATCAAGGTCAGTGTAAACCAAACCAAACTGTGAAAGGAAAGGATAGGGGAGTTTGATCATCAAGATTACTGGTACCTCCTCTGTATCCTGGAACAGGGAACCACCCCCATCCTCCTAGCCCCCACTATAGCTCTAATGCCTGTGTTTCAGAGAGAAAGATTTTTTTTTTTTTCAGGTAGTTCTGACTGAAACTTGTGTCAGCCATCTACTAGAGTCAAGGTCAAAAAGCTCTTGGGGTTAATCACTGTCAACTGGCTCTGGGAGTTCATAAACTTTACTCCTAGATCAGATTGAATACCTTTATCCTGAAAATTATAGTCTTCTCTAATTAACCTCAAGGATTTTGTCAATGTCTTATCTTTCAGTGTCTATCTCACCTCACCTTTTTGAATCAAAATGAAAGGGGCCACTAACAAGTAGCTAGGGATGTCCAAATGTTATTTAAGCAAGTTAAACAACTGTTAGCTGAAGACTAGTAAACAGAGACTAAAAGCACTGTATTAACCTGATGCCTCAGTCACACCTGGGTACAATCTTAAACCAGTCAGGGTGAAATCTGACCTGGGTGCTGGAAGGAAGGAAGCCTCCATTTTGTGCCTTTTCTTAGAAAAATGAATGAGATAACTGGGCCACATTCTTTAGGGCGATAGGAGAAGTTACTCCAAGCCTGAGAACAAATCTTTAGTTTATTTTAAAGCACGTATATCACCCATCCTTCCCCTTGTGTGTCCTATAACCCTGAAAAAGGGACAGGCCCACTAATTGTTTTTAACATTGAATGATGGTTAAATTTCTTCTCTTTCTCCCTCTCTAGAAGCCATGTGGCTTCTAGAGATCTCACTGTGATTCTAGCTCAAACAGCTACATACAGACTCTCCTTCCTCGAGTTGAGACCATTGAATTCCTTCCTCTGTTTCTTTGATATTTTGGGCCTACATAACTGAGGGTAATTTCTCAGACCATATTCATAATAACCTAATGGGTGTTTGTCTTAAGAAAATAAAGGGGATAACTGTCCACATTTAATCTGTGGGATGGGTAGATCCCACAGGGACTCATACCCTAGTAGGGGATGGAACATTTTATCTCTAGCTGGGTTCACCAAAGACAGTAAGTAACCATATGACTTTGATCACCATCTTGACTGGTGACCTCATCAAGATGAAGGGAACCATGTGACTTAATTACCATCTTAATTAGTGACATTAACAAAAATGAAGCACCCATTGCGGCTGGAGAGATGATTTCATGGTTAAGAGCACTGGTTACTCTTGTAGAGGATGTGAGTTTGAATACCAGCACCAATGTGGTGGCTAATATGTGTACAGGTAATCTTAATTTACTATAATATGTCATGCATATAATTTGGAGTCAACTCTTGTTCTAAGGGGGAAAGTAAATAGGTGAGAGAGTTGTTAAGAAGGATGTGAAAATAAAAATAGTTTTGAAGGATTTATATATAAAGATTAAAATACTTGGATACTTTCCAAAGTTGGAAAAAAACTAAAAAGCCTAAACAAGTCACAAAAGTCTGGGTAAATTTAATATTAATATTTCTAAGTTCAAAGTTCAATACACTGATGTCAAATCTCTACTTCAATCAATGGAATTCTCATAAATTATTGATCTACTCTTGGTAACACTCTTAACTACTAACTTATAAAAACAAAAATATATGTCTACTCAAGGCTTATTTAAAAATGTTTTATTTCTGTTTAAACTTCATCTAAATATTACACAGGACTTAAAAGTACCACACTGTTGTAACTGACTCCCTAGGTATTCAATAACCATACTTAGAAGCCTATAGTAATGTGGCCTCTAAGTTGGAGGGATTAAAAAGGACAATATTTTGCCCCTTGACCTCCAAGGTCAACCAGGTCTCAGGGACTTGTGGTATATCCCCAAAATATTCTTTAGCTCTGGTGAGTCACCTGTTCTCTTGCTCTGGGAGGCCATAAAAACCCCCTGAGTGGACTCTAACCAGTGTCCAGCCTACAAAGGGGAGTTTCAACACAGAGGAAACAGTTCCTCCATACTTTCAAGTGAAACCATGGCCAAGCAAAGCCTTTGATTATCCTCACATAGATGGAACAACTAGTAAAAGGAGGGCTACGGTCACTCCCAAGTCCAAGTGATTCCTGAGGACCAGATCCTCAACTGGCCTTGACAATAAAAAAGAAAGTGATGAATTTTTGCCACCCACATGGTCTTAAGCATCCATCAGGAAAGTATAACACAAAACTAAAATTACTGGTATATTTATTTAATAATCCAAGGGATTGCATTCCTCAGACATAAGGCTTAACCAAATGAAATATTTATTTAGACAACTATTTCTAATTCTTTTCTTCTTGATTATGAAACTGATGCCAAGATATAGGACAGCATGACCTTGGATCAATTCAACACTGCAGTGTCTACCTGCAACCGAGGAAAGCAGGCCCACACTCTTAAATGCTAAGGTCAAATATAAGAATGTAATTACCAACTATGGCACACTCTTTCTCTAGAAGATTACTCCTCACAGCTGCTCACTGCTCATGTAACCTAATTAAAGGTGGTTAAACTCACAGGTTTGAGGGAAATTACTCAGGATACCTAAGTGATGCCCTTAGACATCGCTGGACTATCTTACAAGACAAGACCCAATGGGATTATATTTTTGTCTCAGATTGTCAATCAGATACTTACGCTTGGTTGTGCCTCAATAAGAATGGAATCCAGATTTCACTCAGGTTTGGCGTTTAGTGTCAGTCCCAATGAGGTGTTGCATCTGGTACATGGCCAACGGCACCTATTGCCAAGAGGACACTGCCAATGAGACAGTTGCTTTAACTGATTTCTTTTGTACAGTTTCCAGGCATTTACTCTCCTGTGTAGGAGTCTGATGTAATAAATAGTTGATTTCACATTTAGACTTTGATCTCTCAAACAAACTTATGTCAGTCTAGATATACAGAAGACGATTTTTTTCCGAACCATATCTCTCTCTGGTGCACAGTTTAGCCAGTTGCAGTTACATTTCACCTTATTAAATAAGACTTATGTTAATCATGATATTGATGGATTGTCCTTATTAACCTTGTCACTCAATGTTCCTTGTGTTGTTGCCATAGAGGAAACCCAAAGGCTAACTTCTGAACTTAGACTGACTAATGAGAAACTTCTTGAGCTCTTGGCCAAATCAAGTCTTCTCCTCAACGTGGACCTTGCAGGAAAATGAAGAGGATTCTTTGGATGGTATTCTTGCTTGTTCACTTCCTTTAGTAAAGACAAAAGTACTCCAACTGTCTTTTTAACGACCCTCTCAATAGGAGTTTTACTAGCAATATCACTTTATATATGTTACAGATGCTAACTCATCTGTATAGCACACCTTAAAGAAATAAATTGTTATCAAATGGCTACCTTTCACTCTGGATCTCTGCCATCAACTAATTTTTATTATGTCCTCTTATAGGGGCCCTTTTCAGAGGCACTTAGATAACTGTACTTTTCTACATTGTTTCTTTTGTCAGCATGAAGAAATTAAAGTGGTCTTCACCCACCAAATCTCCAACAGGGAGACCTCTGAGAGGTGGGAATATGGGACTAGAAGTTACAGATAGGGAAAGGGCCACTAATAAGCAATTAAGATTGAAAATGTCAAGCTTCTTCCTTATCCAAGACAAAGACCTGGCAGGCTTTTTCCTCCCACTGACAAGGCCCCATTTTGGATGACTAGTCCACACCAGTCTAGATAAGTCCAAGACCAGTCCTAGAAATATCTCCGCTTTGGAGCTGTGGACCTCTCTTCTTTGTTTAATTTGATCAATATACAGTTAGGGGAAGGGGAACAGCTCTGTACCATCAAGAGCACTTAAAAGACCCAGACCCTCCTAGGGGCTTGGGATTTCAGTTTCCAAATCCCCTCTCCACTTGTGGAGAGTCTTTTTGTGTGAGTGTGTGTTTTTCTTTACTTTTAATAAAGCTTGTTGCCATTGTGCCAGAGATTAGATATGAGAACCCAGAAATAAATCTTTATATTTATAGTCAATCAGATTTTTACAAGAATCTTATGCTTATTATAAAAGAAAAAAGAGAATAGTTATTCAAGTGGCTCTAAAAGAACTAGATATGCACACTAGAAAAAATTAATTTGAACACTTACATAACACACTAAAATGAGACCAAAATCAACTAAAGACTTAAATGTAAGAGCTAAAGCTATAAAACTCTTTGAAGAAAACAGAGAAGTAAAATACTGTGGGCTTGAGTGAGGCAAAGAATGAAAAAGGATTACAAATAAAGCTGCCATATTAGATGCAAGTCTTTATGTGAATGTACACTTTGACTTCTCTTGAATAGAAAATGTTTACTAGTGGTAAAATAGCTGCTTCATGTTGACCAGGGGTTCCATAGATTCTCAAACACTACTGGTGATTGCCCCTGCTCTTGGTTACCCACCACAACTTCACAGTAAGGAGAAGACACTACATACATGAGCTGTGGAACAAACAAGGAGAAATCAAGAGTGCTGGAAGGTGCTATGCATGCTACCAAAAGGAAAAAAATAATCATCTTTACCCAGCTGTGAATCCTGTGAACGAAAACAACATTTGTACTGTTAAGATATGCCCACTGATGGCAATAGTGGCATGGATATTATGGGAGTAACAAACTACTAATTTGATTTAAGGTTCACTTTATAGGATGAAGCCCATACCTGACATTGATATCAGGCCCAGGATATCACAGGGCATAGGGCAGAGACTAATACTAGCTTTCTACTAAATAGTTGAAGTATTAAACTTACTTCCCCTCCCCAGGTCTCTCTATGTAGCTTAGACTGGCTTGAACTTGATATAGATCAGACTGACCTCAAACTCCCAATCAAATCCTTCTGCATCAGACTCCTGAGTGCTGGGATTACAGCTGTAGGGCACCACGCCTGGCAGATTGATGCTAGTTGTAAATTTTCCATAGAAATTCTACAGGTCTTTCCTAACTGTCCTTAGTTTGCTAAAATATTTCTATTTGACTGTGAAAATTTGAAATGTATCTACCCTATTATGCAGAAGTTATTCCTTTGTGAATTTGTGCCAATTTTTATACCCACATATGATATTTATGTTTAAGGTTAATCATTGCATCATTATTTGTAATAGCAAATATTGCAAATATATTCATTGTTATATTCTTGCAAGAGAACACTGCATGACTGTGACAGGGAAGAAAAGAGTTTTTGTGTACTGAAGAGTATTGCCCATGAGTTTAGCACAGTGATGTCATGTCTGAACTCTGGAGCCTGAATACTTGGTTTTACCTCTTAGCTCCATTTGTTACTTTCCCCATGTGTGGAATGAGAACAATAATACTACCTATCCATGCAATTACTGTCACAATTCAATGGATAGTGAATTTAGAAGCAGTGTCCAGCATCAAATAAGTACTTTATAAGTACATTTTTGTATGTTATTAAGATGGCAAGATCCCCACTATATACTGTTAACTATCTTTAAAAGAACCAGTGGTGGAATGAGAAAGACTGGAGGGAAATGTATTAGTTCAAAAAGATATACATACATATACACGTGTGTATGTACAAGTGCATGTGATAGCTGAAGGCTATGTAATAAAAATAAAAAACACCACCAACAACACAATGCTAGGAGAAACCGCCCTTCAAGTTGTTCATCAGGATGGTTCAAAGATTCCTAAAATAACATAGGCTATTGTCACTAGCTCTTGATTTCCTCCCAGAACTTGAAGGTAAGACCCTAGTACTGAAGACAGAACATACTTTCAGATACAGAACTTGGAGCAATTGAGTTGAAACTGACCCAGAAGCCTCCTTGAAGACTAGCTCTCATGGTATCAGATGATACTATGCAAGCTGCTAAGGGAGTAAGCCAATCAATGATCCTACGCAGCTGTAAAACCAAATAAACACAACAATGACTAGCCCAGAAAACTATCTATATTGGTGCAGTAGTGGCACTTTTATCTTGGGGGTAGACAACAATTGTCTAATTGGACCTATAGGAGGGAACTCATGTGTGGTACTGTAAACAGCCAAACATATGCAGCTGGAGAGGTCATAGATCTTTGAGAAAATCCGGAGACCAACATAATTTAATTTCTTACTGTTCTCTCTCTCTCTCTCTCTCTCTCTCTCTCGAGAGAGAGAGAGAGAGAGAGAGAGAGAGAGAGACAAATGTACCTCTCATGAACTCATCCAAAAAGCTGCTTTCTACAACAGATGGAGACTATTACAGAGTTCTATAACTTGTCAAACACAGAGAATAAGTGTCTGTGAGATACCCATCCCAATGTGACACATCTACAATGAAATCTCTACACCTAAGCCTCAGAGAATATAGTGGGAACAGGGGGCAGAAAGAATATTAATGCATCTCTCAACTGTCACCAGTGAAGCTCCCTTATGCAACAGATGGTGATTAACCCAGAGGGCCACAACTGGCTGAAGTACAGCGAATAGGAGACCACAGAAGTGCTTGTCTCTAGGTAGGACACCTATATCAAACCTCTGCCACTTAAGGCTCAGGGGTCCTTGAAAAAGAGGGTATGGAAACACTCTAAGAGCTAGAGATGGTGGATGACCAGAAGGAAGCAAGAGTTTTCCAGGTGGCTGGGAAGTTGCTCATATGAACTTACAGCAATGTGACAGCATATACAAGATCCATGCGAGCTCAAAGCAGACAGGGACCCAGCATAGAACTGGAGAATGGTAAGAAGCCCCAATCTTGGCTGAGGAACTATTGGCCACTGATGACTACTGGTAGAGGAAGAATTGGTTTTAAGGGAGTGGCTCTAAATAGGTTGGCCAAGCTCTAGTGGATGAACTCACACCAAGGGACATTCGGAGACACAAATGTGGCTCAATAGTTCTAAACATATGTGACAGAATGCATGAGGCCTTGTGGGGAAGGATATGGAAGGATTGTGGATGGGGTAGAGGGTCTAAATATAATTAAGATGTATTGCATGAAATTCATTAAAATTCAATGAAAAGGTTTTTTTTTTGTTTTGTTTTGTTTTGTTTTTTTTTTTTAAAGAACCACTCGAGGAGGGCTGTGGACTACCAGAGAGAAGACTTAGTAAAGTGACAAAGACCTCTAGATAGGCTGACTAGATTCACCAGACGGACAAGTAGTGGGGAATGGCTATGGGTGCCGACATCACAGCAGACAGGAGCAGGGATATCAGAGTATAAGGGCTCTAGTGCGGGGAGGGAGGCTATGGGAGGGTGCCAACTGGGAAGTGGGTGTATAGTTGAATAAGATGGTTTGGGATGTTCTGTGTGATATACACACACACACCAAAAATAAAATCAACAAATTTTTTTAAATGTATTCTGAAAATTCTTCAAAACATAAAAATTTGCTCCTTCATAACTAGTAGATGTGGAAAACATTACCATTCAAATCTACCTGATGACTTTATATCCATGCTCAGATGCCAAGGGGCTCAGAAAGTAACCAACTATGACTAGTAATAATCAGATATGTAGAGATTAGAAACGCATGTGCATCTTAGTGTCAATTGTATTAAAAATAATTTTTTCTGTATGAGAACAATATATTCTAAAATGAAATGGAGATCTTTTTCAAAGATTAAAAACTAATTCAATTTTATGTCTTACAGGGCTTATACTGAGTTCACTATTGTATATTAATTCAGCTGTGAACCTAGAAACTTACAGCCACTTGTGAAAGAGATGTACTCTTGCTCTGGAGTGTGTTACTGAATATGTTAAAGCTGTAATGAAATGCTTCTTCTAATCATGTAGTTATTAAAAATAAAAAAATTTTAAATTACATTTCTTTATTTGTAGGGGGCAGCGGGCAAGCCATGGCATGTTTGTGGACAGCAGAGGACAACTCTTGGCAGTCAGTTCTTTCCTTCCACCATATGGATCCTGGGATTTGAACGCAGATCATCAGGCTTGGTGGCAAGTGCCTTTATCCACTGAAATATCTTGCCAGCATATAAAAGTGTTTTCAAAAATAGCTTTCCTCTAAAAGGAAGTATGAAGAAAGAATAATCTTACTCATGATAACATTCAACATATCTAAAATATCATACCTAGCTTTAAAAAAAAAATGTGTGCCAGGAAGAAAACAGCAAACTTCAAAGATACAAATTAAATGCAAATAAGTTTCTCCACTGCTTCTTATGATAACCTAATTTTCTATGATCACACAAGTGAGTCTTCACTCCTCATAAACAAGCGCTATAATCATCTGTGGCTAAAAGGACTGAAAGGCATAATAAGCATGTTAAGTGAAGCACATGTTTTTAAGTAAATTAAATTCCTGGCATGAATTCTGTGTACATGGGAGTACTTGATAAAATCTTTCTAAAATTTATACAGAAGAACTGGGGAGAATGGTGAAGAGATTTTTATAAAGAAGTTAAAGGGAAGTTAGGTGCTCCAAGTATCAAACTCTAAAATCATAACGATTGAAAGTTTATAAACAACATGTGAATACAAAAAAAAGAAAACACAAAAAGAAGTCTCCAGATTTATCTTTGAAAAAATAATCAAAATATAAAATAGTAATATAAGATACACTATAATTCAATTGGGAAAAGGTGAATTATTTCATAAATAATTTATTCATTGAATAATTGATGATCTGGGGTGGAGTTCAATGATGTAACACAACTTCGTATGTAAGAGGTCATGGGTTCCATCCTTAGCACTGCAAAAACAATGACAAATGATTCAGGATCAGGGTTAGATATTGAGGGGGGGAGTCAGTCACTTAAGACTTTGATACCGTCTGTCTATCTACCTGTCTATCTGTCCATCTAATATATCCAAGGCCATAAAAATGAAAAGCATTTCTTGTTACCTACCTCCTATGCTAGACCCAGCCCTTACCCTTTGAGAAAGAGCCTCCCATTTAACATAGCACAGTGCAGTCATTGGTTCCCTGGTCTATCGCTTCCATCGGTTTAGGAGCTTAACCTTAGTTAAGTAAACCTGAGTTAACCTACTATGTGCCATCCCTCTTCAGTTCTCATTAGTTGCTCAATAAATGTAGAGTTAATGTCAGAGAAGAGGGGGAGGGCCCTGGCCCAAGCATAGTCTCCATTCAATAGCTTTTATTACACAATCAACAACTAAAGGTTGGATTGCTTCAGAATTCCCTTCAGCTGTATAAGTCTATACAATAGCAATTTAAAAATTATGTCATTAAAGAAACATATGTGTGTGTGACCTTGTAGTTAAAAAACAAGATAAAGTGGTAGCATGAAGGAAAGTCCCAAAACAATGTAGATAGATCCAATCTTTTAGATGAATCCAATCTTCCACTCCTTTGTTCCACATAGAATAACATATCTTCTCAAACAGTTCTCGATGTTTCTTCATTTGCCATTTTAAAAAAGAAAATACAGGATTCTTTGGTGTTGCTTATTTCTTCCCATGGAGGGATGATAGTATAAATGCTTAGCATTTTATAAACATCCATCAAGATTTTACTTTTCCTGCTTTGTCAGAGTTGGTGGCTGCAACCCATTCCAAAGATTCAGACATGCTCAGGGTGGTGCATTCCCAAAACCACATTGAACAGGGTGGATGGATTCAGAGAGGTCAGGTCCTGAGAGTTCCACACAGTTCAACAGCAACAACAGTTAGGTAATAAGCAGTCAGCCTTCCATATTCGCAGTTCCAAGTGTTCAGATCAATCAACTGAGCACCAAAAATATTCAGAGAAAATATATACTCGGAGGGGCCACCAATATGCTCAGTGCAAAGGGAGTTTGCTGAACCCACATGGTGAAAGGAGGGAACTGACTCCCCAAAGGTTTACTCTGATCCCCATGTGTGCTGTGGCTTGTGCATGTGCGTGCACATGTGCGTGCGCGCGCGCGCACACACACACACACACACACACACACACACAAATAAATAAATGTAAAACCTTTTAAAAATTACATTTACAGTCAGATGTGGCAGTGCTGACCTATGATTCTAACACCTTGGAAGCTGACTGAACATCTATAGACTATTTTTCCTGTCGTTAATCCATGAATAGTATTGTGTAACAATGTTTTATATAGCATTTACATTATATTGGGTATTATGTACAATCTAGCAGTCATTTGAAGTGTACAGGAGAACATCTATAGGTTTTATGTAAATACTACAACATTTTACATACAGGATGTGAGAAACGATGCTTGATTTATAATAAGAGACCCTCATTTCATAATAAGAGCACTCAAGACTCAGAATAGTGAAATCCAGGCAGTTTATTTTAATTTTTAAATTTTTTAAATTTTATGTGTATGTGTGTATGAGTGCTATGCCCACATGTATGTAAGTGCACCCGTGTCATATAGTACCCACAGAGGCCAGAAGAAGGCCTCAGATCCCCTGAAACTGGAGTTACAGATGGTTGTTAATTGCCATGTGGATGCTAGGACTTGAACCCAGGTCTTCTGTAAGAGCAACCAGTACTCTTAACTGCTGATCCATCTCTCCAGCCCAACAGGCAGTTTAAGACCTTACAAAGTCAGATGTCAGCCTAGAATAACAGGCATGCTGATTGAGGCAGAGCACAGTCTTTTAAAAAGCAATTAATTAAAAATTTTAATTATGTGTATGTATGTGCACACAAGTTGTAGGGGCCTTCAGAAACCAGTTGTTGGATTCTCCTTGGAGCTAGAGTTATAGGCCATTGTGAGCCACCTGATGTAGGTGCTGGGAACTGAACTCCAGTCCTTTGGAAGTGTTTGCAAGTGTTCTTAACACTGAGTCATCACTCTAGCCCTGAGAATAATCTTTATAGTCTGTAACATATGACCCTTTATACCCCTTTTGATTATCAGGAGGATGTAATCTTATGTGCCATATCTCTGTTTTGCATCCTGTTTATTTCAAAGCTTATACACATAACTCTGCAGGCAAGCTTGGTGATTAGTAATTTTCTACTATAAACTTCTAGTTTGATTGTGTGTAGGGAGGTAGCTTAGCGAATAATCTTTATAGTCTGTAACATATGACCCTTTATACCCCTTTTGATTATCAGGAGGATGTAATCTTATGTGCCATATCTCTGTTTTGCATCCTGTTTATTTCAAAGCTTATACACATAACTCTGCAGGCAAGCTTGGTGATTAGTAATTTTCTACTATAAACTTCTAGTTTGATTGTGTGTAGGGAGGTAGCTTAGCAGTGCGTGCGTGTGTGTGTGTGTGCGTGTGTGTGTGTGTGTGTGTGTGTGTAATAGCTAGATTAGCAGACATTAGTAGGGATCTAGTATTTTCTATACATTTGTAGCTGTACCTACTCTAGCTCCAGGCACCTTTGAAAATGAACCATCAGACTGAATTTCTGAATTCCTTACAGGGGATTGGAATACTCCTGGGCATTTTGGCATCTGCAGGAGTCCTGGCATTAATCCCCCCGGATACCAAGGGATGATATATTGGCAGTGTATGTTATTTCAATTATCAGAAGGAAAATTTTTTTTTCAGAGCTGAGGACTGAACCCAGGGCCTTGTGCTTCCTCAGCAAGTGCTCTACCACTGAGCTAAATCCCCAACCCCAAGGAAGTGGTTTTTTAAAAAAATGTATTTATGGGGCTGGAGAGATGGTTCAGTAATTAACAGCACTGGCTGCTCTTACAGAGGACCTGGATTTGATTCGTAGCACCCACATGGGAGCTAACAACCGTCTGTAACTCCAGTTCCAGGGAAATCCAACACCCTCCTCTGATGTCTGTGGGCATTGCACGACACAGGTGTGCTTGCATGTAGGCAATATGCTCATGCACACACACACACACACACACACAAAATCAGTAACATAATCAAAAACTTTAGTGTGTGTGTGTGTGTGTGTGTGTGTGTGTGTGTATGTATGTCATGCTGTAGGGGGTGCTCACAGAAACCAGAAGAGAATGTTAGACTCCCTGGAACTGGAGTAACAAGCAGTTGTGAGCCACCTGATGTTGAGTACTGGGAAAGAAACTCGGGTCTTGTTGAAGAGTAGCAGGCAAACTGCTGAGACATCTCTCCAGCTCAGAAAGTGTTTTCATATCATGTAGATAATCAGACCAGTAAAGATAATCCAGAAAAGAAAATCAATGTAGCAGAAGATTTTGTTATTTCTCATGTATAAACTCTCATCGCCTTCCAAAGAAGGTGCGTGGTCTTTCCTTCCATTTTCCCCAGCGGTCATTGATCTCTTTCAGACAGAAGGTGGGCTTCAGGAGCAAAAGGAACTGCAGATGTAGGGTAGAAGCTGAATAAGAGGAGGTGGAGGCTGAGAGTTGAGATTAAAAGATCAGAGGAAATAGGTTGGAGCAGCTGAAAGCACTTGCTGCTCTTGCAGAGAACCTGGCTTTGGTTCCCAGCAAACCAGATGGTGGCTAACATCTGTCCTTAACTCCAGTTTCAGAGACTCCCACCCTCTTTTCTGGCATCTGCATCTGCAGGCACTGCATGCATGTGGTACACTTACATAGATGCAGGCAGAACACTCATATACATAAAATAAAAATAAATAAAATATCTGGGCATGGTGACACATGCCTTTAATCTTAGCATTCAGGTGGCAAAGGCAGGTGAATCACTATGAGAACAAGGCTAGTCTGGTTCCTGGACAGCTGGAGCTTCAGCGAGAATGTGTCTCAAAAAAAAAAAAAAAAAAAAAAAAAAAAAAAAAAAAAAGTTAAACATTTTGAATTTTTTAAAAGATTGGGGAAAAGTGTAAAATTTTTTCTGTGAAATACTTTAGGCTCTACAATATAAATGCCTTCATCTTTCCCTCCTGTGAAATATTCTATAAACTTTGCAAACTTAATTAAGGCCATGCTAGGCGTTTGTTGTTGTTGTTATTTTTAAGCTGGTCTCCCTGAACCCTAGTTGGCTTGGAACTCACTAGGTGGACCAGGCCTTGATCTGTCTGCCTCTGCCTCCCGAGTACTGGAATTAAAGTCATGAGTCAGATATAGATCACCCAATCAATCCTGCTGTTCTCTGGATGTCTCTTTCCTGAAATTACTTTTATTCAAATAGTTAATGATCTAACATTTCTCCAGGCCAGAATCTAGGGATAGGCTGGTGGATAAAGCCTCAGCAAAAAAGATTCAGTAGCTATTGTAGAAATAAAGGCATTAAAAA